CACTTATTTCTGACAGGAAAAGCTATCTGTCACCAAAAAAGTCAAGACCATAGCATGTTCAGAACAAAAGATACAAAAAACGGAAGTTCTGCTGCAGTACCAAGGCCATCCACCAGGAGGCCCATATTTGACCTTGACCTTCGTCTTCCTAAGACTTACCAACATACCAAATATCATCACAATCCATAAAGACGTTCTGAAGTTATGATGACCACAAAGTTGCGGAAACACACACAGACACACAGACACAGACACACACAGACACACACAGGCACACAGACAGACACGCCAAAAACAATACCTCCATTTTTCATGGAGGTAATTACCAGTCGTGTTGTATTGAAACGACAGGCATGCGGGGTTTGCGCAGCAGGCGCTTACACAGAACTCTAGGGTAACGCCAACATGGCTGGCTATGTCCACTGCATGTCCTCCACAACCAGTCTGGGGGAAGTGGCGAAACACTGATAGCCCACACGTTTCTGGATCATGAGAACGTGGAAAATAATTCCCGGCACGGTGATTATTTGATACGTTGTCGTGTCATTAATGAGGTGCTCGAATAGATGCGAATTGCGCTATACCAGGCATACAAAGTTACATTCATTCAGTAGATAGATGCGAATTGCGCAGGCATACAAAGTTACATTCATTCAGTAGATAGATGCGAATTTCGCAGGCATGCAAAGTTACATTCATTCAGTAGATAGATGCGAATTGCGCAGGCATACAAAGTTACATTCATTCAGTAGATAGATGCGAATTTCGCAGGCATACAAAGTTACATTCATTCAGTAGATAGATGCGAATTGCGCAGGCATACAAAGTTACATTCATTCAGTAACTCTGTTCCCATTTTAAGGCACCCCAGATTCCACAAACCACATACCACATGGTACAGACGGACAGACAGACACACACACACACACAGACACACACACACACACACACACACACACACACACACACACAACCACACACACACACAAACACAAACACACACACATGCACACACACAACACAAAAAGGAATATACTCCTTACCATACGTGTTGTTACTTGTGTAGGAGAAATTGAACCCCTGACGTGCTTCACTGTTGTCAGATGTGAACCTCAGGAGCATCACGTTAGATGTGCTGACGATAGGGCTGACTGACTGTGGACCCGTTAACCTAGAGATCCAAGAATAAATAGTAATCGAGCCAATCTATGTCTCAATGCGGTCTGGTTTCCATCCCCCCCTCAAAAAAAGCAATCGAAGCTTTTCGGGATATGTATATATACACCATAGATTGGTCATCACCATTTTTTCATACCAACATTTCATGACCAGACATGGTGACGGCACACTCAAGTTATATCAGCTTAATTATTTTATGCCGTCACGAACGCAGATAGAGGACAAATATGGAAGAGGACAATACTCATTTTCACCTGTGAGTTAAGTGAGGAAAGTCGTGTAAAGTGCCTTCCCTTTTTTTTTTTAACGGTATCGCTCAATGCAAGGCCAATTATATTTGGCCACTTCTAGGCATAGAGCTAGAGGTACTTAGAGGAGTATATTATAGCTATGTCAATCCCTATACTTTCCAAGCAGTGGTTAGGGTTTGGGGTTATTTTTGGCGTGTTTTTAGACTTTTTCAAACCCCGATAAAAAGTGTAAAAACACACCAAAAATACCGAAAATCCAAAACTCTGCTTGGAGAGTACCTTTGCCAAAGGCATAGGATCGGTGGCATGTCAGGACTCGAACCTGGGACCTCTTGGTTCCCAGTCGAGCACTCTGCCGCTACGCCACACGACCCCACATATTACTAGCTGCAGCATTGATATGAGGTAGTTCTTATCAATAGATTATAGTTTAGGGCCTTACTCCTGTAACACCGCCGCACTTGCACTGTCTCCATCGTAGATGCGCAAAAAGTCATAATCTTGCTCCACGTCGAAGCTGTCAAACGTGAGACGGATCGTGCTTCCTGCCGGGACGGTGATCAGCCACTCGCAATTCAGGCTGTTGCCATAGTTAGCGGGGTAGTTCGGTGACGTGACAGGACCTCCAGAGGGAGCCGTCAAGGTGCCTCCACATCCAGAGACGCCCGGTAACACTAACAGGAACACGAGGAAGCACAGGGCAAGTGCCTCCGACCTGCGCGGGGATGACCCCGCCATGCTGCCTGAGAACGATAGAATAAAATTGAAAATGAGTTTATTTGGCAGCTTCTATACACCCCCATGAAACTCCTTCCTCTTCGCCCCCGCCGTTCTGCTTCGCCCCCGCCCCGTTCTGCTTCGCCCCCGCAAAAAATCTGCTTCGCCCCCGTCGTTCCTCTACGCCCCCGGCGCAATTCTGCTTTGCCCCCGTCCTTCTGCTTAGCCCCCAATGGCGGCACAGCTCACAGTCGACACGAAAATTGTCTGCAAAATAACAATAAAGGCTGTGCCGCCAAATTTAAAGTAGCCCATGCTCCGGCAAACATTCTGGACCACCTTTCTGCCAAGTGGCGTTGCACAAATCCTTCCCATTCAAAAGTTTACCCCTACCTCACGGCCCGTCAGTGGTTCTTACGTTTATAAGTACTGGCGGGAAATTTCACTCACGGCTGGACAGACGCTAGGCTGATCGCCATGGAAGGTGGGTACTAATTAAAGCCAACTTGGATAATGGCGGGATTTTGTATCAGCCAACTGAACAGTAACTAATCGTGTTCCTTTTGATACAAGTAGACAATAGTGAAAAAATGACAGCTATCAGTAATAGCGTTAAGTTAAAAATTGTGCTGCAAATACTAAGTAGAATTTATAAGGCAATACCTTGCTGTGAGAGGTGACATGGATTTAGAATGCTGTGTAAAAACTAGACGAGACCACTGACGGGCCGTGAGGTAGGGGTAAACTTTTGAATGGGAAGGATTTGTGCAACGCCACTTGGCAGAAAGGTGGTCCAGAATGTTTGCCGGAGCATGGGCTACTTTAAATTTGGCGGCACAGCCTTTATTGTTATTTTGCAGACGATTTTCGTGTCGACTGTGAGCTGTGCCGCCATTGGGGGCTAAGCAGAAGGACGGGGGCAAAGCAGAATTGCGCCGGGGGCGTAGAGGAACGACGGGGGCGAAGCAGATTTTTTGCGGGGGCGAAGCAGAACGGGGCGGGGGCGAAGCAGAACGGCGGGGGCGAAGAGGAAGGAGTTTCATGGGGGTGCTATAGTTTTGTTGACTTTTCACGCTCAAAGATGCGGACCGTTGGGCAACCGATAAGTTACCAAATGTCATTGGTCCTCGAGGTCATCATAAGACTACTGGAAGACTTTAAAGATCAATGGAAGATCACTGAGATCATCGTGAGATAATTGCAAGACCTCGGAGATCATGGAAAGCTCACTGAAGGACCATTGAGTGATTTGTCAAAGCTCAAAGCGAAAGTTGGCAACATCGCATCGACCGCTGCAGTTCCCGTGCTTCTCGCATGGCGTAATGCCAGGGCCTCGTTGTTTTCCGTGGACTTTTAAAATTGTTAAGCCCCTGTCACACATTCGCGCCCTTTCCCCAAATTTGTTCCTAGGTTCGGCTGACGTTCGGGAGCAGCATGACCAGATTTAGGCCACGTCTACTTTTCTATACGAATCGTGACGAATTTGAGTGAGCCTTGAGTCAAATTTGATCCCCAAACACGCCAATAACACTGTTGACTTACTCCCGAATGGTTGGCTGGTGTTCTGCTAACTTACAGCCAACCACCCCTGAATGTTTTAAGTATTTTGACATATTCGGCTGGCGCAGCCAAATATTAGCCAAAGTCACACCAGCCGACTTTGTGCCGACCTACTCGTAATAACCATGGTTGGGCATGGGGGCGTTCGGCTAGTGTTCGGGAGGCCAGATTCGTGAATGTGTGACAGGGGCTTTACAGGTCATTTGCTCCCTGATGAATGTTCAAATGACATGCAGTTGCCTTTGTCGACAGTACATGCCGAGCTACCACCAAATGAGCTGTAATACCGCGCCGATAGAATCGTGTATAGCTTGAATTCTTTCTCCTCGTGATATATTGTTGCACACGTTTGGGTCCTCAAATGGATCATTGAACATAGAAAGCACTTTCCGCTGAAAATTCCAGCTCCGGCGGTGTTACACCCACACATCCCCGCTAGATATAAACACAGGGACGAGCTCTTTGTCAGTCTGAACCACACTGTCCCACTGCCGTGACTGGTCACTATAAACCCACTTACGCTTCACCTGTTACTCTGGCGAAATGATGCCCTCTATACTTAGACAGGGCAACGCATGAATATACATGTCGCCGCCACGCACAACTTGGGCCCGTTTAACACTTGTCACTGGCACTGGCCGTCTTGCAATGCCAATGCCAAAGAGCATGGCGCAATATTCTTCCATATTCCTACACTATTCCATTATACCTCATGTGTTTTTATTCAATCGAGATCATTGGAATGCATTGATAAAATAGTGCACTACCATACAACTATCTGTTTATTCGTATATTAACTTTCTTTCAGCAAACATAAGAGTAACTAAATTTCCTCCCTCACACGGCCACAGGTCTGTAGTAAGTATAGAGAGATTCACCTAATCTTCTTTAACAGTAATAACACCCCAACCAATGAACTGAAGTATTATTAATAGCTAGCCATAGATAGATCTACCATTGCAACAGACAGAAAAACAACTACTCCTGACCTCAAGCGGACATAACAGAGAATTCTCCTTCTGTATGTTTGTTGTGGTATTTTGTTATCCTGGGAGCAATCTAACCGTAACCACAGTGCCAGACGGCTGACGAGGATACGGAATGTTTAGAATGTGACCTAAAAGGGTCAACCAAGGACCAACATATATAAACAAGCAAGTACCTGTACAGAAATAAATGAAAACGAAGACCACTAGAAAAATATTTAATCTATAGCTATGTCAGGTGGTGCATCAACAGATACCAATCAAGCAAATAAGGGCCTAATTTGCATTAATAATGCATTAGTGTAAGTATGGTGAACACCACTGCATAGATCATGTAAATGTAAGGCCATTGATTAAGTAATAAACTGGAATTCTACCGCAGGATTCGACTTTCACAAATGCAATAAATGTAACGGAACTTACAAAAGTTCTAAATATTTCGCGAGGAGGTGACGCAGAGGTATATATAGGTACGACATGGACGGATCAGTTCCACGAAAAGGAGGATGTGACTTGCTAGGGACCGTCTCAGAAGCTCAGCGTGCATCCAACTACCGTGGAGTCCATTCGCCTGCGCAGGAGGAAATAGAACCCGTACCGTAATGGCGGGCCCACTCCCCTGGTCAGCCAGGCCCTAATATCTTTGCCGAATTATACCATCCTAACCCCCTTTAGAAGGGTCTGGTGCAGTGTTCTAGCCAGCCTGAAATTTTGTGGAAGCTTTGCTACATGAATCACACAAAAATTAATACAAAATTGATATCCCTACCTTACCATGTACATACGTATACACTTCAGTTCAACTTGACTTTTTCTATTATATAAAAGTTATCTATAGTTGATGTGTGTATCTGTAAAACTCTATTGAGCAAGCGAAAATGAATATGAAGAGCACTGAGAGTCTATCGTGATATTTTGAAGAATCCATGCTACATGTAAAATTCAATATTCGTTATATTTGATGTAAAAACAGACTGTACAGAAGGTGTGGTCTGACTAGGGTACGCATTCGGTGAAGTTTTGAACATCATTGACGTAGCTATGTTCTTTCTCTACCAAGTGACTTTACCCCACAAACATTTAAAAAACCCATTCAATAAGAAGTGCTACACTGGCCTACTCTCCAAGCAGAGGTTGTGGGGGAATGATCGTTACCTTTTTACATATGGCCGTTTTTTTTTTTTGTCGCTACCCCCACCAACCTCGGTGGCCGCGGACCTTCTCTGGCTAATGGATACTGCCTGGCCAATTTGATACTGTCTTTTTGCCACCGATAGGGATCTGCTTGGAGATTATTAGCACTGGCCCACAATTCGTAATTTTTGGATTAGGTTGCGGGCTCGATCCCGGCGGTACATAATACTTAAGTATGATACTTAGCTTTCAGCAGCTAAATATAAAGGAAAGGAAACACACATCACTGCCGGAAGATTAACCTCTGCTGTAGTGCTTGCTAGTTTTGCGGCTACAGAAAGTGAGATAACGCCGCATTGTATACCGAAAAGTGTGAGAAGGATTAAAAGAACTTAACCATTAATAGTGAGTGGGATTGACTATCATGCATGTTATATACACACACACAGGTCTGTACCACTGTATATTGCGCCCTCTTGTCCAACGTAAAACAATACTAGCCGTCTCTCTATGTTTAAAAGATCAGACATTCAACTCACAAATGCAGAAGTATATACTAACTATGACTCAGTTTTGCGTTTCCACTGAAGTGGGCAAAGACAGGGTCTCGGTGCTTCGTCTGGCTAAGTACTCACTTGAACTCCAACCGCACCAAGCCCGACTGCGCACCAACTCGGCCTGAGCCTGTCTCTATGAAACAGTGATCTAATGTTTTGACAGAACAACAACTAAAGAGACTCACCCGTGTTACTTATCAACGGAGATGTTCAGTACGTCAGCTTGATACTCTCTAGAAAAGGAGAAGAACAATACAGGTAGTCCGTGGACACTTATCTGCGTACCTATTTCGCACACGGTCCAAACACAAGTGACTTGTAGATGGGCGGAACTCTTCACTGTTATGCATGCCTAGGGCCTTACAAAGTACTATAGTAAACACAAGTTCACACGGTATACTGTTTATGGTTATGGTAATGTGTCCGACAGATACAGCACTAATACGTGCTAATGTTGGTTAGAAATGAATGCATTGGTGATCGCCTGGTGGCCTTACAATTGACAGAAAATAAAACGGGTGTCATATACTTCTACTAGTTCTATGTAGATCGATCACAGTAAAAAAAAAAACATCAGGTTTAAAGTCTGAAGGCATCCGGCACACGAACTTGGATATTTCAGTGTATATAGATCTATATAAGATCATATAAGACCATATTGATTTCATTTTTTAAAGACGAAAATCCATGTGCGCTCGGATGTCATCCATAATATTAACTCAACATCCTAATTAGGATTAGGTCCTGATTCATCACAGTCTGCAAAGTGATCTTGATAGCTGGC